TTCTAATAGCCCAGACGCGACTAATGGGACTGCCATAGGACTGCCGATCAGGCCAGGGTTGGTGGTGTCAGGGGGGGTCAATGGGGCGGCAGTCCTATGGCAGTCCCAGACAAGTCGCGTTTGGGCAATGTTTCAACAGCTTCTCTCCAGAATCTCATTGAGATGAGCTCTCCTAAATTCCGACGGAGTACAATCATGTACAATGTACATCCTCAAGTCTACATTGTACTAGAAAGGGGACTTCGGGGTCGAATTCTCCGCCCAGAATTCAATGGTCACCGTGGTCCCCCTCATATCCCCGAATTGAGAAAGGGTGGCCATCTACGAACTCGAAACCATCCAGGTATATGTGGAATCCCCATGTTTCCTAGACGCCGGAGGTGACCCTGAGCTTACTGGGAATGGTTTTGACATTGAACACCCCGGAACTTGACTGCCACCACGACAGGCAGGCCCTGACAACGCTCGGGTGTCCGGGTATGTTCGATTCTGTTGGAGAAAAAGCGGGTCAAGGCACTAAAAAGGGATACGAATACGTCCTAGAGTTGTCAACTGAAGCGAGTCATCATCTAGGTTGGTATAATCAGCTCGCTTCTGGGCTGAGCATGGAGATCACCATTATACCTCTTTGCAGGCTTCCTGGCCTTCGACTAGGCTGAACCCTTTCACCAGGTCGTTTCACGGAGCTTGACGCTACAAAAACCAGGTCGTTCCCGTCTTCTCGCGTTGGTTTCGCCGCTCGCCACCGGGCCGGCGCAGGCCATCCCCGGTGCCAGCGCGGCCAGCGCCGAGTACGTGGAGCGACTCATGGCGTGGCTTGGCATTCGGACGAACGGAACCATGTTCGCATACGAATTCGGGGCGCCTGGCCTTACTAGTAACAAGAAGCTACTAGTAACAAGGGCATCGCTACTAGGAACAAGTGCACCGCTACTAGGGGCATGGACGCTACTAGGGGCTCCTGGCCTTACTAGGAGCAAGGACGCTTCGAACGGGGCGGCCTTGCTACTAGAAGCTGTGGAGCCTAAAAGCAGTCGGCTCCAGGAGAGGCTCCGGGCGCAGCGTTTTTGTGAGGTGCGGTAGAACTGGACCCCTCTAAATGATTCACCCCAATCCCACCCAGTCAGCTCAGCTTCGGTACGGTTCCGTCCGCATCAGATTGTATCAGGTCATATAGACTTCTTCTTTCTTTCTGTTTGCTTAGTTGCTTATGATGCTTATGGTTACCACAATTCCCTGATGTCTTCCACCTGCCCGTTTTTCGAGATCAAACCCAGCTCCGGCCTGAACTCTCAGGCACCCTCAGGGCGTTGCCTTTCTCTCTCGGCGAGGAGCGGGCGACTTGGTGTTTCGTGCGAACGGGATGATCCATGCCGCGACCGATGGGACGGCAGACTGGCAACAGTATTAACATGTTTCGGGGTGGTTTGATTGTAGGAATGAAATAAATATGAACCAAATGTTCGAAGTCAAGAAAAACGTTTGTTTTATCAACATGCACTGTGTGGCATGGGCGAACTATATTGGATCGAATGAATGGTCGACGACTTTTTGAGGTCCATGGACCTGGCCACTGGTAGAGCAGCATCAAAAAAGCACCGGGAGTGGCCGCTGACGATCCAAAACGGGACGTTTCGAAGAGCTGATGGGTCTCCGACCGAAGCTGGCGATATTGCGTGCGAAAGACCAACAGAGGGTCGAGTTCGGTTCGCTGAGGGTTGATCTGGTGAAAACGGATGAAAGAGAGGATCCACGGTGAAGAACACCTCCCGTGTCAATGCCACCTGAGGCAGTTTAAAAAAAACCGTTAATTTACTCAAGAAGTGGTCTTTGGGTTGCCCTTTTTGACTAGGTAGCAGATCCTTGGTAAGCCGATATAGGAGTAAAAAAACGATAAAGGTCCCCAAGCAATTCAACTGACAACCAGGTGTCGTGTATTTTGCAACTGGGTGTTGGGTTTGGGAGGCTGGACAGTCTTGATTTGCAGCCATTTTGTCGACATGCCCAAGCTGTGGACGTACAGCTGTGACTCACCACGTAGCATCAGCAGTGGGTGCACTAGTGAATCCAGCGAAGACAGCGACATACAGCAGCGGCCTTAACTTTGTTACCTCTTCCACTCCCAGTGTGTTTACACCACTTTTTCCCCCATGAGGATGGAGAGGCATGTGAAGCTCAGCAAAATGCAGATTCGGAGCTTGGAATTTGGGCACGCTTTTGCTGAAGCAACAGGTTTGTTCCTTAGAACTTAGAAGTCCAAAAGACAGAACTCAAATGCTTTCAGAAGCCCCCCAGGTTTGGCAGAGTTTCTGAGCGGTTTGAAGGCACCACTGCCAGTCATGACTGATTGCCCATTCCTTAGTTGTTTGGAAATATGTTCCACTTCAGAATAAACTCCCTGATCTGGCTATGCAAGGCTCTGGTGCAGAGGCGCCAGTGCTTTCATTGGACATGATTCTTCGGGGGGGCAGGGTGCATCGATATGTGCCGGCATGTGTTCTTTTGTTGCACTAGTTCATGAACATGAGAAGTTGTGACTGTTGAACATCATAACCTGCCACAAGGTCTGGGTGTGACAATGCTCCAGGGCCAAGAAAATTCTTTGCGAAGAATTTTCCGGACGTTCCGTCTTTCTCTCAGTTCCCAGTTCCTGGTCCATGTAATGAGTCTTCCAACTTTAGTAAGCCAATTTCCATTATCACTTTTGGTGTTTTCGCCAGGCTCCAGGAGGATTTGTTCCAGAGAAAAGTGGATCATTTGATTGACCAGGTACGCAAGAGTGTTCAAGCTGTTCCTTTCTGCAAGTCAAGTTTGAGTGCCCGCAGCTCGCAGGTCTTTGCATATTGCGCAGGATTTCCCTGTAAGGCCTTTTCACGTTTGCGGTGGAAAAGTGACTGGTTGGATGATGAACAAGCCCGACAATTTTGGGCTTGCCGGGACACCATCCGTGCAATACAACCACCAGTGCGCTTCCTAATTGTCAATGCCAAGTATTCACAGGGGTCTCACCCGTTTCATTTACTTGTACTTTAGGTTGTGGTGCTGGAAAATGTGATGGGCCTGCTGAAGGTTCTTGACGAGGTCGTGGAGGCATTGAAAGAGTGCGGCGATTATGACCTCCATGTGGTAAAGTTGGACCCTATCCATAGCTATTCAATTGACTTCACTACCATGTTTTAGGCTAAGCTACTTGGCAAACCTTGTCCTTTTAAAGCGATCTAAGGATCCATTTAGGGGTCAATATGACCAGAAGACGGCTCTACATCATCATGGTTCACATGGATGTTCGTGGGTCGGAAAGCTTGGAAGAATGCGCTCGCACCATCGTGGATGCCCTTTCCGAGAACCAGGTCACAGTACCATGGTCGGACCCCCATGACATTTTGTTGCGAGCCGTTTCAATGCCCTATCTCTTCAGGTCAGATTTCCTTCTTGATGACAACTCTGAAGATGTGCGGATGCAAAAAACCAAGCTTGAGGTTCCCAAACTTCAGGTTTGCTGTTCATTTCGCATCGGTTTTGAATTATGTGCCCATCAAATGAACGTTTACCTGGGGGGAGGCCAGATTCCAGAAGCAGCAGGACAAGAACAAGAAGCAGAAACAACAAGCGTTTCGTATTCGAAGGCACTAGAAGTGTTTATCACACCATGCTCTTTGTTTGGTTTTTTTGGAAGGCCAAAGAAGGGGGATCCCAAGTGGCGCTCTTACCATTGGGACTTCATAAAGAAACACAAGGTGCCTATTATGTTCAGCCCTGCCCCGGTTTTGATCTTCTGGCTTGTTGCCAGGTGGATTTGGAGAAAGCTCGAAAAAGGTATGTTTCTTATGGCCCTTGCGCTGGGCTTTCTCACCGTGCTGACGAGGCAGCATCCCTAGTCAACCAGCTTGACAAAAAGTAGGATTCAATAGGGTTCTACTTGGCAAACTGTGTTTGGGAGGCCCTGGCGATCGTATCAGCTCAGCAGAGGTGGGTTTGTGCGGATACTTCCCAAATTTTGGGGCGAATGCCAACGATCTCCAGTTTCAATGAACCATTCTGCTGTGTAACGTCACAGTCTCAGTCTTTCTCGCCACTTCTATTGAAACAAAATCAATGCCAATAGACTTGAACACGTGTTAGAAAATGCGCTAGTGTTCCTGAGGCCAAAGGGAAAGTATTGGCTGCGGCACGCCAAGCGCCCACTGTTAGGCCCCATTTTTTTCACTCAAGCTCTGTAACGTTGACAGTTGTGAAACTTTCTGGCGCCCACAGGAGTGGAGAAACTCATGCTGCAAGGGTTCCCAATTCACCGCCTTCAGTTGGGGGGGTCTGACAGAGCAGGACCGATGCATGACACCTCATACCCTGTGATTGCCCCGGGCGCCAGGAGCTCCAAGACCTTGCTGGCAACAGCATGCACCTGAGGTGCATTGCTGCTGCTTGGATCATTGCCCTGAAGGCACCCTGAACCCCTGCCTACTACCCTAGATTTGCTGCCATGAAAGTCTTGTGAAAGGCCTGTGACATCAAAAAAGTGAACAAGTTCTGCCAGAAGCTGAACAGGACTCGATCACTGGCAGCACCGTAATATACCTAAAAGCTCTTACTGTGGAAGGAGGAAGACGCCAACAGCAATGAAGCACTCCTAGCTTGCCAGAATCCTAAGCCCACTGACTGAACATCTTGAAGAAACCAAACATCCTCTCACACCCCTCCATCCAAATACGCGGCTCCGGCTGATGCAGCTCCGTCTGACCTTCGCCGAGGAAAGGACAACATCGTTCTGTGATGTCCATTTGGGTGGGCACCACCACCAGTTTGGCGCAGGGACCTCAATGCCATTTGGATCTGACTTTGTGGCATCCCCTCCCTGTTTAATAAATAAAAGGTGTCTTTAGCGCAAACCTTTGGGTTTCAGTGAACGGATCTTATACTGTGTGCACCAACTTGAATGTGCAAAGATACCCAGTTGAGATTTGGGCTCCACCTACCACTCCAGTGGTAGACCCGGAACCGCCATGGACGTGAAAATGGAAGAGAAGTTCAAACCTGAGAAGGTAGAGGATGAAAACAAACCAGCTCCTGAGATCACCGCTAGAGAAATGGTTTGGGCTGCATTTCAGAGGGTGCATTCCTCAGCCTTGGCTCGCTAGTATTCAGCGATACAGCCCACTGGTGTCACTTCCACGCTGTTATATGATTGGTCTTTTTCTGCCTGTCGCTTGCAGGTGACACAAGATGAGAATCTTGGAGAATGGTTGAACCGCAGGTACCCAGAGAAAGATATGTTCCGAAATGCAATCCGCAGGATTGTTATGGAAAGGCCTGGCGCTTTGGATGATATGCCCAGTGTGGTATCCATCGTTCCCCGTGAAAAAGTAAACGAACTCTTTGTGGGCTTGGACCAGTTGGATTATAGCAAAGATGCCAAACATGGGTTTCCAGGATTTCATCAAGAACATTTTTGGAGCAATCCCAAACCCAAAATATGTTGATGTCCTTTTGGTCGTCTACACTAAGTAGCTGGCAGCCAAACAACAAACGACTGCCACCGTTGCGCTAAGACTACCCACACATGGCTTCCTTGGCAGTGACGATGAAGAGTGTCATCCATCACAATTTTGATCCATTCCAAGAGCCTTTGCAAGTTCACTTCACAGACGATGGAACACGAGAAGTGGAGCCCTTTTCTGTCAAATATACAGATGGCTTTACTAAAGGCCTGATCTGCCAGGGAATTGTCGGTTTGGTGGACTCCCTTGAAACTTGGCTGTGTTTCTTTTAGATGTTATAATATGTTTTGGCTTCTGCCCTGTGACAGTGTTGGGGTCTCAATGCCGGGTATCCTGAGGAGTGGCCTTCAGAAGACCTTGACGCAGAGGACTTACGTCCCCTTCTGCTATCTCTTCGTTTTTTCAAGGGACAGTACCGTCACTATGACCACCCTTCCCTTTTCATCTACGAATCCTTGAGGGCCCTCATTTTTCCACAGCCCGAATCTCGCAGCCCATACCCGCTTGAGGCATTGGCCAAGAGACAGCAGAGAAGCAAACGCCAAGTGCCTTAGAGTTCTTGGGACAGTTTGGGAAGGCCATTGAGAATCTCAAGCGCAGTTCAGGGAAACCACTTCCTTTGTCTCAATCTTTGAGCGCATGCATAGCGGACTACAACCGACTGACGGTTCAAAGGAAGTACAAGGTCGATACATGGAAGAGAAAGATTATCTATAATCTCTTGAAGTGTCCGCAAGACCTCATCATGTTGCTGGCCTCCCACTACGACCGCCACCGCCACACATCGTCAGGCGAGGCTTGGTGGAGTTTCAGTGCACTGCATGTCAGCCAATGTGTAACGCATGGCATAGTTAGAACTTTATCAGTCTGTAAGTCAACTGCAAGGTTGCAAACTTGAGTCTTCCTAATTCTTGCAGCTGTGATGTATCAGACTTGTCAAGGTGTGCACTACACAGCTCAAGGAAAGAGGTAGGGAACATTGTTGACCATGTTCAGGAAAGATGTGCAACAAAGTGTAACAATCAAAGTTTTTGCAACATCGCACCATACACAATTGAACTGCTGCTCCCATGGGGAAATGGCGAGCTGACTTCTCTCGTAGCCGATCACCTTGTAACCTTGGACGGTGGAGTGCCGATGGATCGGAAAGCTCAGAATCCGATTCCAATGCTTCCAGCTCTTCACTTGACATCAGGACCTTTAGAAGTTGGGAAATCTGCTTTATCACAGAAACAAAAAATATATGTGTTCAGTTTGTGGGGCAGCAATTGAAATACTTACTGTCCCTATACCACCCCCCACCTCGCGAGGAGAAAGGATGCAGATTTATCTTTTACACATTTGGCATCGCTCAAGGCAGCGCACGATGGGGAAGACAAGGATCCAGGTATTTACGCACAGAACGGGGCTTCCAAGGAGAGAATTCGAGAGGTTCTTTCCAGTCGTCAAGCTTCAGGATGTAGCTGTTCCAAGAGGTACAGGTCTTAGCATGTCTCTTTTAATCTTGAAATGACTGTTAGTGCAGTGGCTGTCATTGAGTTCCGTGGTGTGGTGCTGACATAGATTCATTGATTTTACACTCAGGTGTTGGAGGACAGTTACTGTGGGCGCTTTGCAGGAAGTATGCAAGCTGTTCTGGAGCTTGGCACCTCTCCTCAAGTTAGAATGTTCTGATGTGATGCAATACTCCCTCCTTGATTCCAAGCACTGTCTTTTTGTATAATAAATCTGATTGCAAACATTGCGCAACACAATGCTCCAGTTTATGATGCCTTATATCCCCTTACGTTCTAAGGCCAAGCCAGCACAGGACGCGATTCTGTGGGCAATGCAAAGCGGCCATTGTGAGATGGGGTCCGACCATGAGGGATCTTCTTCTGGGAGTGACCCAGACTCGCCTAGTCCAGAACGAGTTCAAGTCAAATGGTCCATTGCAGGCACCAGTGTCAGCTTTTGTTTGCGAGCTTGCTCAATTATTCCTTGCGCTACTAGTCTCCCCAGTGTTTTCAGGCCAAGAGGTGTGCCGCAAAGCTTTTGCACGATTTATGGGCATCGGATGCGGCCGGTTGCAGCGGACACGCCATTCCTTCAGAGGTATGGATGAAAGGACATTAGGCGGCCAAGGAGACTGCAAACTGTGCAACTGCATGTCGTTCATCAGAGGAGGTCAGCATGTTAAAATAACATGTCTCATTATAGTCAGTCTGGTAGGAGCCGGAACTCGACCAGCGTTGGCGACAGCTTCGATTCAATCTTTTCTTCGAAAGATGTACTACTCAATGTCAGAGACAATGCCAACCAAGCTTCCTGGCATTTGAAAATACCACTCGGTGTGTTACGTTGAAGGTTGGATCCAAACAGTTATTTCTGAGGTTGATGTCCAGTAGTGTGCAGTTGGACTCAGAGGAGGCCCGTTCTGCACTCTTGCAAAGCTTGATGGATCAAGTCCTTGAAGGGCCTTCCACCAAGGTGGGAAACTTAGATCTGAGTTCCCTTGCACAGCGGGAACTTCCACCTGGGAGTTGGGGACATCTTTTTGTCATCTATCAAGCTCACTGCATAGCCCTTGATCAGAAGGTTGCAAGCAAGGCGCTCTTTTACAAAGTCTCCAAACCATGGAGAAAGGTGCTGGCGTTTCGCCGACGAAGTCAGCACAGCACTTGTGCTGTATGCGACAAACTACGAGCGAGAATGAGACACGCGAGAACATTTATAGAGAATGCCAAAGCAGCTGACTGCTTGTTAGGCCATCTGGCCACGGTGTGGCGCTGCAGGGAAGTCTACTGGGAAGCTCGCCAACAGTCCCGCAATGGAGATGAGCTTCTAACCTTAATAATCGACGGGTTCGATAGAAGCAAGCCTCTTCTTCCACGCTGGACCCGAGGAAGGACACCAAAGCACAGCACGTGTGAACGGGTTACTCGGACAGGTGTCCAATTGTCTGCAGTGATTGCACACGGACACGGCGTTGTCATCTTCCTCACGGATGAAGCGACTTCGTGCGGCGGGTCATACAGTTGGGAGACCATCCTGTTTACTCTGAACGAGGTTTGGAAACAGTGCTGTCGTCTCAACAAACCGTTCAGCCGGTCGTTGCTTGGCTTGTGCAGCTCGAGCGTGATATCATTGATTCATCATTCATGCCATGGTTTTCCTGCCTGCCTGGTGTGAGGTTGTGGCTGCAGTCAGACAATACGATCAAGGAAGTGAAGAACGGCTTATCGGGGGTGGTGATGGCCGCACTCGTCAATTGTCGATACTTTGACGAGTGCGGTCATCACCACCTCCCGGTAGGTCATACGCATGAAGATATAGGCTTGTGAGCTGTGATGTACATCTCATTGTTTGTCACATGACCCTCTGTTCCAGTTCCTGCTTCACGAATTGCGCAGACGGGCTCTTTGGGCTGATCACGAATTACTTGATGTCTGCTGGAGACAGTGTGCAAACCCCGTCAGACTTTCAAAGGCTCGGCTTGTCTGATGCAAAACCTCCTGAGTTGAACCTGTGTGGCAAGTGTTCAGGCTCCTTGAAGCCAATGTAGCGCCAGTATTCCAACGCCGTGGGGAGTTCTTTCAATGTGTGATCATCGACAAAGTCTTCAGCCAAGTTCGATGGATTGAACGCATATATAATATGTTGGACAATTAATTATGATCGCAATGTTTCTTTTTTGGAGATTGTCCTCTAAGGTGAGACCTTGGAAAGACTTAATCCCACACGTGGCGACGATGAGCAACGTCTACAGGCCTCGTAGCGGAGAAGATGAGGAGAGGATTCCTCACAGTTTCCTCTTTCGTCGAAGAGATGGTTCCTCGGCAGTGAAATTGTTGAGAAATCACTGAATCTGAATCATTGAATACGTTTTTGATATTTTTGTTGAACTTTTGATTCTCAGGGTTGCCAGCAGCTATCCCTCGCAGTGAACGTCTTCCACGAAGATATGAGCACAATGCCTCTGACGTTTTCTGTCTTTTGAAACAAGACCTTTGCGATGCAGAATTGAGCCAGCCAGCATTGCTGGTCTGGCCTGGTGATGAATTGGCTCGTTCGCGCGCCTTTTGGCAAGCTGCGACGAGCCACCGCGGGAAGCATTTTGACTTGGATCCGGACAGAGCCCGGGACCTCCTTGAGTTGGCTGATGTGCTGGACTCATATCCACAGTATGCTCGCGCTACAGCATACATGAGAGGTTTGACAGGCCAAGGCCGAAGGCCTTTGCGTGATGCATTTCCTCTTGAGTTTATTTGCGCTGGAGGGCAGGCTCCAAGAAACGACATCCCTGCACGTTTGCCAGACCGCCCTGAGAGACCCGCTGCATACAGGATGCAGGTGAGGTTTCACAGGCCATGATGGGGATTGGGGAATCGGTGTCCAAAAAATGCTGTGTCCGTTTCCAGCCCAGAGCAGTGACTTGTTCTTAAGACTTTTGATTTGGCTGTTGCCCGACAGGCCTGAGCTACGAGATCCTAGCGATTGGACACTTTGTGCCAGGCAGCGAGAGGTGGGAACTGGGAAGGTACAAGGGCAAGGAACTGTGGAGAGAGAGCATGGAGGTGACTGACTACGCTTCAGTCGTCTACGTTCAGAGAGCCATCGAGATGTTCGAGTCACGGGTTGGGAAGGAGGCAACATCAAAGGTGAAGGTGACAGGGCTGTTGAAAACAGTTGACTTGTTTTCACACATTTTTGTCGGAAGAGGTTTGAGAAACATCTACCAATCTACGAATAGCCATCGCTTCCTTGTGCCCATCCCCGCACTTTTCCCTGCAGAAACAAGCCCAGCTCACTCCGGACGAGCATCAGAACTTGATGGACATTGTGCTGGTTTGGCTTTGGCTTCGGCCAAAGGTTGCAACTGCGGTTGATGGTGACATGATGACCAAGCTTGACGACATGTTCCGCTCAGGGTGATTTGGTGCAGTGCAGTATCGACTGGTTTGGGGAATCTTGATGGGTTTGGGGAATCTTGATGGGTTTACCACCAAAACCCGTCACGTTTCAGAGCCAGTCATCCCACCCTGAAACGTGATGGCTTTTCCAGAAAAGCCGTCGCAATCGCTTATTTAAAACCAAAACCCGTCACACTCCCGGACCTAATCATCACTTTCCACTTGTGATGGGTCGATGCCAAATACTATGAAATTGTGATGGCTTTTCTAGAAAAGCCATCGCAATTTGGACCCCCCCCTTGGGGTCCGGAATCGTGATGGGTTAAGGGGTGTGGATTTGTAAATTTAGAAAATTTGCAAGGTGGGTTGTGATGGCTTTTTTAAAAAGCCGTCGCACTCCCAAAACGGATTTGTAAATTTCTGGATTTTGTAAACCCGTCACATTCCCAAATCGGATTTGTAATCTTATGGATTTTGCAAACCCGTCACACTCCCAAATCGGATCTTTAATTTTCTGGTTTCTGTCAGCCCGTCACGCAAATCAGAATTCTGGAATACGCGGATGTATCACATGCTAGAGTACAAAATCTCAAAAAAACAGACTCTATGACTCAGACCAATCCTTCGGAAAACGTCTATCAGTCGGCCAAGCTTTCCCACCCGCTCTGGGGTCTTGGCCCAGGCATCTGGGTCAAGATCTCGGTTGCATCGCGAAAGCTGCGGACCCCCCAGCTGAATTGGGAGCGGGTCCCTTTCATTATAGAGGCAGGTCTTTCCGGAGCCTTTCCCGACATCGTCAAAAACGAGGAAACCAACAATCTTGGCCTAGAGTAATGATCTGTTGGCCGACTGATGTTACATGCGTGTGTATGTTTTCCAGATGTTTTGTAAATGTATGGCTGGATTGCCCAGCAGTGTATGTCCTCAGCCTTTGTTGATAGAGGCGCTGGGCAAACAAAAAAGAGCAGTACGTCGTGGCCGCACAATCCAAAACCAAAAATGCGCACGTGGCTAGCAGAGCCGCGGCCTTCAACTTGTTCAAGACACAGTTGGAGGAGGACACTGCTAAGTTTGAGGCCATGAAAGTCAGGCAAGTCAGCCGAAACAAACCGTTGGGTTTGGAGCTTGGGGTGGTGCGACCAGCATTTGTCAACTTGCCTTCCCACATTCTTTGAGGACTTAGTCTCTGGGGATTCTTGGTCTTGTCCCCACCGGTTCACTCACATTCTCTTTGGCCCTTTTTGGGATGGAGATGGCTGCACATACAAAACCATTAGTGGCTGAAAGGAAACAACAACACATTATTGGGTTAAGCTTCGATTGTAAATGTTGGTAGTCATGGGCATGCTACTGCAACATCAAAAATAAATATGAATACTTTAGTCCTGATACACGATTTCACTCAGACTCTCTAAAGCCACTTGTGGACCAGGGCCCATTGTTGCACAATGCCTTTTACCCAACAACATATTTCATGATCTAAAAACCACTTGTTTGCACATTCCCCAAATTCGCAAAAGAGCTGCTTGTCCCACAGCCACGGCCAGTAGTGATCGTGACATGACCTTCCCTCTTTCCTGCCTTCGCTGGAGGCTGTCCAAGGAGGATTCCAAGCGACGCCGGGACACCTTGTTGAAGTTGGAAGAGATGCATCTAGTTAAAATTAGTTTGCATTTTGGGGGAAGCAGGTTCTAAAAGTCTAATATTCACCTGTTGTGTGACAGTGACAATGTTACAATACAACAAAAGGCAACTGTCGCCACTCTTTGGGGCTTCATCTTCTAATGGATCTTAGTGCTAATGGCCCACTGTCAAATGTTCCCGCGATTTCCTTCTGCTGATCAATTTTGTTGGGCCTTCCTAGGCATGAACGGAGCTGGCAAGCAGTGCACACTTACGTCGATGAGAACCTGAAAGTGTGGACAACAAAACCCGAGTCAACACCTTTGCCGACCCTACTACCATGGATTGAAGAGCGGTTTGAGGACCAGACATACGAGATCCAACTGAAGAAGGTCTCATACTGTATTTCAACCTCACTAGTATGGGAGTGGTCAGTGCGCTCAAGCTATCTTATGTCCATTCCTTGTGCACAAGCCTGCTCGCTGCCAGACCCGGCAACTCAGTGGCAGTCATCATCCACGCAAACAGGGCGTCCGAAGGGCGCAAGTCAGGAGCTCAGGGGGGGGGGTTGAGCGACAGCTTTCAGCACATACCCTGCGAAACATTGTCACCTGTGTCTGAACCCGTTTTGGATGAGCACTTGACTAGGCCCAAAACCAAATGACCCAAGGATATCCAATGAATAATGAATAATCATTTTTATATAACATAAATAGTAGAGTTAACATTCTATGTGTTATGTTGATGCTCACCATGATTCGGTGTATCCCCCATTGGCCCCTCCACTGCCCTGTTGCCCTAGGCGTTCTACAAAGGCTGATCCCGATGGCGATGAGCCAGCAGATGGCACCAAGGAGGAGTCAGAAGAGTCAGGGGAAGAAGAGGGTGAACGGGGAGAAGAGAACACTCTCTTGATGAATTTCAGGCATCGCTTCGAGGCCACGCTTAGAGAAGCCAACCGGATGCTCACAGTCAAAGATCTTATGATCTCGTTTGAACCCTCAAGCATTTATGGGAACCGAGCTGGCTTCTTGAAAGGTCTCCTTGTGACAGTACCTAAACTTGCGCCAAACATGTTTTTGACGCTTTCCTTTCCCCGTTCATCCCCTTAAAGAAATGGACAAATCAGGCCTAGTGAGGTGCAAACATGTAATAATACAGTTTTCTTGAGATTTGTTTGGGTTAAACTTCACCCCCCCAAGACATAAGTTGATGTCTTGGAAGAAACCAGTACTCTCTACGCCCCTGAAATCTAGAGTCTCTTCCTTTTTGATTCGGGTTGAGGCACGGGCCCCAGCTCATGGAAACATCTTCTGGCGTTCTCCTGCATGGCGCCGGGGAATCGTGACTGATGTGCACATGCTTCCTCGAGCAGAGATGTATAAGGAACATCAGGTGACATCTGCCCCGCTTTCCATGCAAGCAGCTTTTACAGACTGCCAAGAGCAACGGCAAGTTGTTTGGATGTTGGAATTCAACAATTTGTTTGGATGGTGCTTTTCCAAAATGTGGCTCTATGATGCTACCATGTTTGATTGATCTGCCAATGTGTTTACTGTAACATGCACTCACCCAACACTTAGGTTGCGGGAGGAACGAGCCTGATCCGCCGTCTTCAAGAAGCCTTGACAGCAGGCACCTCATTGCAACGGATCGCATGGGTTCACGGGCATGGCTACGATGCGTGGCCGGCGATAGCCGTGCTTGAGGCGCGCCCAGAACAACTTCCTAAACATGCAAACCATCTCCCATCGGGTCTTCCCTCCAAAATTTTGGCCGATGCTTTTAACCTGTGTTGCGGGCCCCAGCTCTGATCTAAAGTGCTATACTGACACCTTCAGACTCAAATCATGCCAATCGAGTCATCCCAAACTCCAACCCAGGGGAGTCCAGCTCAACGAACAATTTGCGCGACCATGGTCCATCAAGAAGGTCGTGGAGACAAGGGGACTGCTTTGATGGAAAGAATTTCTACAGCTACCTACGATGCTTGCAGGAGCCAGCGGTTGAAATTGGAAGGGTTCCCTGATGTCCAGCCACTCTTGCTGGAGATGCAAAAGACTTCCGGGGCCGGAGAGAACTCCCCAGCAATTGATGGGTCTTCCTTCAAAGTGACAGTTCAACAGCCTGGGGGTGCACTGGTAGTCAAGGAACAGTTCTTTGAACAGTTTGATGAAGTGGAAGAGTTCAGTGCGATTGTGGAACAGCACAATAAGTCCTACAACCCCGACAACATTCGTTTGAAGGAAAGTGTTGTGACCACTCCGAAGCCAGAAATCTTGAAGACTCAGCTGGTTTCCTCGGATGAGCCCCTGACGGGCGCAAGCCTGACTTCCTTGCCGAATGTGTGGCTGCCTCAGTCGGATTGTGCGTGTGTGTGTGTTCACTGTTCACTGCTTTCCTCAAGTCCTAAACCACTCACCTGTAACCCACTAAGTATTTCAATATCTTCTCAATGGCTTTTGAAAAGGATAGGCATTGGACCGCTCCTCCTGATGGACAATTAGTCAGTCATTTCTCAACGAACGATTTCTATTTTACGCCAATTGGCATTCCTAGGTCCACTTTGCAAGTGAACAGCCAAGTGTGCCTGATCTGTGATCAGTCTGGGGAGAAGATTTACGCCATGGCAGAGGAGCAGTGCACACTGCTTTCAATGAGGGAACTTTGCAGCTTTGGCTCAGGGACTTGGTGTGACGGACCGGACGCAAAGGAACTTCAGCAATCCGACAACAAATGGTTGGCATGCAGCATGACCCTCGATTCCCACATCATCTTAGAGAAAAAGCACTTGTTGCAGCATTTGCAGAACTTGTCTTGCTTAGAGAAGCCAGCTACATTGCGTGAAGTGTTGACCCTCCTAGAGGACGCTGGAGAGGCAACGGTGCCACAAGGAATTTTCATGTCAGAATCTGACTGAACAACTCCTTTCATGCGTTTCTGAATTAAACACTGTGAAAATATAGAACCCTGAAAAAGATGTGATCTGGAGATCTGCCTAACAATGCTTGTTTGCTGAACAGGTCAAGGTGGGCTTCACCCACCACATCGTTGATCTTTCTCAGGACAGCATTCGCTTGGAGAAACCTCTGGTCTTCGGATTGGACAACAAGTCCAAAGATCATGAGGAGGTAGTCGAGCCACCAAAAAAGAAGGCCAAGAAAGGCAACAAAGAACCAAAGGAGCCAAAGGATAAAAAGAAAGACAAAAAGGCTGGGAATCCTCAACACCAACCTGACTACTACTTCAATGTTCAGCCTTGGGAAACATGCTGACAAACATTAACAAACACCAAACAGTTTTCGTAGGCCAGTTACCAAACAGTTCTTTGTTGAGTTCTGGTAGGCCAGTTCAGCTCTTACTTTTGGGTCCAAGTTCGATCTCAAGAAGCTGGTATCGTGTGAAGCCCTGTCCGTGGCGTACCGAGTGAGGCAAGGATCATAACCCTGTGTTCCGCAACCTGTCCGGCTTTTCCATGAGTTCCAGGCTGGAGACAGTGAATGGCAAGACCACGCTGAAGCCCCAGCGGCCTGTGTGGGTGCTGAAGGGGCAGTTGACTTTGGAGCCCAATCAGCCGGTTCAGCTCATGTAAGTCACAGAAGGCAACAATTGGTAAGTACATATGCTTGAAACATGTTCGCAATGTACTGCAAACTATCTTATATATTTGGTCAAATCGCCTAGCCCTGCTTTTGACATGGTTTGACTGAGATGCCAACCTGTGCAGGTAACTGCTTGGGGGAGTGTGCTCTGAAGTTGTTCAACGATGTTCAACGATATCATCCACCATCGTTTTTTAGTTCAGGTTCTCGAAAGCAAGGTATAGAATGAATGCGGTTTCTTTCTGACTCAGGGCTTTGACTGGTGATTGAAAACAGTGTTCTCAGAGCATATGGCCCTCAACACTCATACACGCACACACTGCGCAGCCTTGAAAAAAGGTGCCATCGCCGGACATGGCTGCACGACGCGTGTTCAAAACAAACGACTCTTCTCAGTCTTGCTGCGTGAAGCTTTCGTATGTTGCAGTGGGTTCATGCTTTTGCCTTGGAGGGCAAAGTAGTGGATAGTACCTGCCCCCTTTTCTTTCAGCTATGTCGGGGGACTCGGACTGTGAGATGGTGGATGAATGCCGCCCTGCACGCCACTCAGTGCCAGTCAGGCCCCCAGAAAAGTAGTAAAGCAAATACCTAATAGTTCCAAACGAGTGTTGTATTTTGGACTTGCTCTGAATGTTGTTTTTCACATGAAGAACGTACTATAATTCATTACAGTAAGATGCTTTAGATGAACTGTGAAAAGTTTAGCCCAACCGGAACATCCTGAGATGTTTCTCCACGGCCTTCTTCCTGAGGCGTTTGACTTGGGGCAAATGATGCGGGCGCCGGCTCCGATGCCTGTTCCCAAGCGCAGCTCAGTCCCAGTCACACCAAAGGCATCAATGCCAGCTCCATCCCCGACAACGAGTGCAGGCAGGGTGTGGCGCGCACTTCAATTCCTTTGTAAAATGTGCAGCGGTTATTTACTTTAAAAAACTAGTAGATGTATGTGATATATATAATATATAATATGTGTGTGTCACTGTGTGTCCGTTAAACTTTTGACATGCTGACAGAATGCTGTATAATCCAGCGTTGAAGCACTTGCTGGGCAGGCTTGCCTCCCAGATTCAATGCGTCAGCTTCTTCGTCTGATGACAACAAGCAAGATGAAACAAAAACCAAATCAACCGAGGCAAAAGCAAAGGGGAAACCACAGCGTAAGCTGAAAGCGAAAGCAAAGCCCACACCAAAACGTAAAAACAAGAACAAGGGCGATGATGATGATGATGATGATGATGATGATGAGGGCGTTGATTGTGATCGAGATGATGGGGATGATGATGATGATGACCCTCATCATGATGATGCAGAGGATGGTGTAGGTTCTGATGGCAAAGGACAACGTAAGACGCACAAGCGCCCTGCTGGACGCGAACAATCCAAGAAGAAAGGCCCGGCACACTTTCAAGTCTCTGTGCATAGATCTAACTTGCAAACAGGTGTGAATGCCTCCCAGAAGAAGCCTGGCCGGAAGGCTTCAAAAAGAGCCGATCAGTTGGAGGTGTGTCATTGCTGGCTCTTGCATTTTTTAAAATTTAAAATCACTCTTGCATTTGAATTCAAGTCAAAGGACCTGGCAACGGGCCTGGAAGCAAAATTCTTGGAGGCTGGCCTTTTGGTTTCGTTGCATGCGCACTGAAAGTGTCAATGACTCGTCGTGTTCTTGCTGCTTGTGTGTCAGAATTAAAGGCTGAACAGTGGGATCCCCTGGCAGATCTCAAGGCCATCACTGACTCTTTCAATATGCAGCTTCGAAATCCTGGTTCTGTGCATTTGAATCATATTTTGTGTGGCAGGCGCAAGTCCAGCAAAGATCTAAGGATGCTCATCACGCTCAGCCTGTCACCACTCCGTTTGCTGAGCCTGAGACACCTGCAGGTGAGCCTCTGACCCATGCAGGTGAGCTTGCCTTTCCTTCAGAGACACCAGACTCACAAGAGCCAATTGGGCCAATGAACGCAGTGCGAACTGATACGTTTCGTCGGTTGAAACGATTTGATAGTAGTGCGCTGGGGGTCGATGAGATGTCCGATGAAACTTTGCAACAGCAGCTAGAGACCTCAGCGGGACTCTCAGCCTGTGATGTCTACGAGAGCCAGCTGCACCCTTCGCCGTTTGATCTTGCTGTTGCACAAGAATCTGAATTGATGGTTCGCGCTGAAGGCGTGGCTAGAGGTTGTGAGTAGGTCCCTTTTTTGTTGGTTTCCTGTCCCAGGACAGAAAGCTGATGATGCCATGTCCGATGCGACGACACTGGTGCTTGGGCATGAGGAGATAATATGATGAATCTTGATGTTTCTTCCTGTCGAACCCATCCAGGACCCAGACCTAGTCGGTTCTTCGCCATTTGAGAAATCCAACCCAGACAGGATGGAGGACGGTCGGCCATTCTTAGAACATGAAGATTGGATTGTAAAGACTGATTCGAAAGGAGTGCGCTGAGATCGAGAACAAGAAGGACCAAGAGACAAAAGCTGATGAGAAGAAGGCACCCTTGAAGGGCCAATGACTTCGTGTTGAGTATGATTCACTCCAGGTGATTCCAACGCCTGTTCGCAATGACAGCAAGGTCCTGTACTGGGTTTGGCTTTGTGACGGTCTATATACTGTAATTCTTAGCCTGTCGGCCGTCCTGCTTTGGATGTCTCATAGCTTTTCACTTTGAGGCCTTGGGCGCACAACCCAAACGGGCTCCGCGACCCAAGACTGCTGCGAAACCGAAAGGCAAAGGGAAGAAGGCCGAGAAAGGAAAAGCCAAGGCTGCGCCCAGGAAAGCAAAAGCAAAGACTGCACCCAAGAAAGCAAAGAACACCATGAATGAGGAGGGTGCAATGAGTTGGCCAATGATTCTTTTTTCGAATTGTGTCATTGGGAAGGCCATTGGCTTGATGTCTTTCTGTGTCCTTTCAATGCGGACGATTGGACCAGGACCCAAATGAACCTTGGTCACTGGAGCGGCTGAAGAAGGCCCTGAACAGTGTTCGGGCCTTAGTTTGCGGAGTCTTGGGAGTCTTGGGAGTTTGCACTGGCAAGGCGTACTCCATCGGCTGGAAAAGGCAAAGGAACACTGGCTATGCTGAGTCGTGGCAATTACGGGAAGCAGGGAACGCTGCGCGATTGGAGCGTCTTAACGCTTTGCGAGCCGCTGGAGTTTCTGTGGCCAAGTCTTTTGAGCTGTGATCAATCTGATCATATATAGACTATAGGGACTAGGCTAGGGTGAGGAACCCGCACAAAGCATTTGCACTTTGGAAGGCTGTTGGACACTTTACACGAAAGACCTTGTGCACTATGAATGTCGTGTCGGGATCCTGTTTCAAAAGTCCATGGGGCGTGATGTGTTTTGCACACACACGGGATGAAAAACAGTGCGTTCAAGTCTATGCTCTTTACTGTGCTTACCATTTGGGCGCAATTGAGGGCCAAATACTTCTCCTTGACCCCTGTCTTTCAGCCAGGTCAACTGGAAAATTCAATGCTGCTGCATTTCACAGCTGGTGTACTAGCTGAGATGTCCCTGAGAAAAGGTGTTCGAGCGACTGTGCCGGGTGTGCTTTTAGGTTCCTGTCGCACTGTGCATGCGTTATTAGTCACTATGCCATGCCCAAATCTTGGACACCTACTTCTCAAATAGAGAACACCCACTTCACAGTGGAATTGATTCCCCATATTACACAATTGTTTGCAGTTGTTTGTTGGCTTTGGCATGGACGCGAGTGATCATTTTGCCGTGTGGGAGTGATTCATTTTGTTTTTGGGTCTGTCGCTATGGCTTTCATCTCTTCTTCCAATAATTGTTCTGAAACAGCCCAGTCGAGTCTGGGCGACTTGGCAGAACCAAAGGGAGAGAGACAAAGGCAGAACCAAGTGTGAGACAAAGGCAGAACTCACGAAAGAACAAGGGGGTCTTCGCCGACGAGCTGAAAAACTTTGGAGACCAAAGATAGCTTGTTTATGCTCATCTATTATCAGCTTCAAGGTTTTTCGACAAGTTTCTGGACTTGGCTGTAACTCACTTCTGTCTTCGCACCATGTCAGTGCCTTGCGCCCCAACTTCCAGCACGGTGGGGCTTAAGCAATGGTGCACAGATGAGAAGGAGCCGCAATGGCCGCGGCAGTATGGAAAGTGGCTTTGCTACTGTGTTGCTTGGCGAAGTCATCATGCACATTCAGCCTTTCAAGATCTTGCCCAAGTTCTTTCCTTTTGTGCACTAAGCATAAAGCCCTGCCTGCTAGTTAGGCTTCCGAAGCAGTCACCCTCGAAGGGCGCCGCCGACAAAGTCACCGCATGGCAGCTGTGCCCCTTAAGCACCCAACG